TCAGCAATAACGTGGAACATAAGAGGTTTAGGGAGGAAGGAGAAATCGAGAGCAGTCGGGAGTTTGGTAATTGTTAAGAAGCCTGTCATTGTGTTTTTACAAGAAATGGAACTGCCGAAAATAAGTCTTTCAATGTTAAGAAGGTTATCCGAAATCTGTTACATGGGTATTGCATTGCACCGGCGAATGGAGCAGCTGGAGGTCTTTTAAGTTTATGGAACGAAAGTCGTTTTGAGGTAACCAGCAGAATAGTGAATAACAGGTTTATTGCGTTATTGGGGAAGGTAAAAGATAATCAACTTAAGTGTGCTTTTATTAATGTATGCGGTCCAGCTGTTGATGAATTATCGTCCTTTTGCCAAGGACTGGGCATTCATGTGTGCTTAGGTGGTGATTTCAACGTCTACCTATCACCAGAGGAGAAAATAGGGGCATATCAGAATATGCAAAGCATGGAATTACTTGGGGATTTCATTCATCAAGTTGATTTCGTTGATTTACCTCCTGTAGGGGGAGATTTACTTGGTGCAATAACAGAGACGAACCTACTTTTGTTAGGCTGGACCGGTTCCTAGCAAACGTTTCTTTCCCTGATATTAAGCAAGTTCTTCTTCCGAGGTCAATAGTGGATCACAATGCTATTGAATTGGCAAATGAAAGAATTACTTGGGGTCCCAAACCATTCAGAATTTACAACTACTAGCTGGAGGAGAAAGGCTTTGTGGAAATGGTAGATTCGACTATTTTAATGTTGACAGAAAAGAATAAGGGGAAGAACATTTTATGCATTATCAGAGGAACTAAAACTGAGATTAAAAAGTGGCCTGGCAGCAAGCTTGACGAACTTTCAGTGGCTATTCGTGTTTTAGAGAAGAAGACTCATGAAATGGAAAGCTCACAGGTGCAAGGGACTCTTTCTACAAGCAATTGGGAGGAAGTTATTAAAAGCAGGGAAGTTCTGTGGAATCTTTACAGAATTGAGGAGAGCATCTGGCACCAAAATTAGAGGATGAAATGGATTCAATATGGAGATAGGAATTCAAAGTATTTTCATTCCTGTGCGTCGGCAAGGAAAAGAGTTAATTCCATTAAATGCTTGAAGATTGATGGAGAAAACATCACTGATCCGATCAGAGAAGGACAGTGTCAGGGATTTTTTTAAGGAAGCATTCAGCAAGGTGTCTTCTTTAGCTGTCGATGAGCTTAGTTTGAATTTTCCTAGGCTGTCCGCGCCTAGGCCAGATGGTTCAAATATGGGGTTCTTTAAAAAGTTCTGGCCGAGTTTAAAAGTGATTGTTCAGTAGCTTTAGAGGATTAAGAACTCTTCTTGCCCTTCATGTTATGATTCCTTCATGTTATGATTCTATTGCTAGGGAGATTAGTTCCTGGTTGCATCAATAATGTTGTATGTCGTTTTGATTTTAAGAAGTGCTAATGGGAAGCCTACGAATTGGCGAAAAAAGGAATTGGGTGAGGGAAGGTTAGGGATGTAGAGAAAGGGGTTTTATCACTGTAATGGGTGTGAATTTTCAGTTTGTCATGTTGGGTATTCAAGCCCTTATTTAATTAATAAAATTGAGGCACTCTTTTTCCTTCTTCCGCTGATTGTTTGTTCTCTTGGGGAATGGACAGTTATAAAGGGGTTTTAACGAGGCCTCCCTTCTTATAAAAAAATCACTATACTAGGAATTGATACGTAAATGATCATCAAAACATAAGCAGCAGAATTAACAAGAATATGAACCTCTTCCTCTGGAACTCTGATCAACCGTTCCTGTTGTTTGATCCACATACGAACATCCACCTGCCAATGGTAGGATATATTCATAAAAGTTATGTATTACTCCCAATATGAGATGAATAAAAAGAACTCGTGTTTACTCGAGTCCATATTCTTGAAAGATTCTAACATACCAGTGAGGAACAAGAAAATGGCTAAACTAAAACACTAATCAGCCTGCATTTCTACTCAGAAAAGAAGATGCATAACGATGGCTGCATCTCAACTATTGTCGTTTAGATAATATAATTGCTCCAAACATCATAATTAGAAAAGTAAAAAATACAGCAGTATACAATAAATATCAAAATCAATAGACTGGAGCATGACATGTGTTTTCCATTTCTACACCAAAAATTTCTGTAACATTTCGGAGGAGCTCAACCTGAGAGTGGCCAGCATCGATAAAGAAGCCAATAATTGGTGAAAACTCTTTGCCATCTCTGCAGTCAATGATGGTCGTGATATTCATCTCTAAATGAAAGTATAGAAGCAAATAATGAAATGTGTGATTTCTTTTAGAGGAAGCACGTTATGCTAATTTGATCTAGTGGTGCATCTTGTGTCAGGTGATGGGCTAAGATCCTATCAGGTAATTACCAAGAAAAATAACAACAAATTACGCTTCTTCATTCCAGTTACATGTGATTGGTTATACGGATAAATTTGAACCACTTCTAATTTACAAGTAAAACTCATTAAAAATGTGTTTCTTGAGTTCCATCTCCTCCTCTTGACATGAGCATCGAACACATATTTTCAAAGACCTCATCTTTACATACGAAAACCACCACAAATTTGCTCCAATCATTAATCACAAAAAGTGCAACACCGACATTTCCCAATCTCTTGAGCATTCACTCCAAAATCTTATCCTTCTGTAAATTCCAAACGTCAGCATAGCATCTTCATCAAAGCCAGACTCTTTTTCTCTTGTTATAACATGATAACTTCAGTTACCCAATGTTCATTCACGTAGAAGAACAGCATCAAACCAACAATACGTTAAAACTTAATTCATAGTTATCATAATGATATAAGAATAATCATTTGAATTCCTTTAAAAGCAGGAACCAACGACTAATTCAGCTGACAAAGTACTAAACTTTTAGCTGATGACTTTGCAACTATTGCGTAGAGAAAGACAAGTTTTTTTTATATATAAATAACCTGGTAGAAGAGCTGTAGAAGACGAAATGAACCCCAGGAGGAATCATTTTAATTCCTTTAAAAGCAGGCCCACATAAAATACCTACATATAATACCCCAAAAATGGTGGAACGATTATAATTTGAGAAATTGTGAGAAACAAAGAGAGAAGAAGGAGGGGAAGTACTTGAGTGTCGATGCCGATAAGAGTGTACTGAGGAACGTCAAGGAGGAGAAGCGTAGCTCCGCTCTTTACCAGCTCCAATGCCTTTTCTGGGTCCATCGTTTTCCCTTCGGTTTAATTTCCACTTCCAAGTTTTGCTCTTTAAACTAGAAAGGAGGTTAGGTACCTTCGAGTCGAGAGAAGAGAGTAGGGGTAGTTTCTGGAGTAAATTCAGGGTCTGGTCTGGACATTGAAGATTGGTTGGTTTATTTTGGGCTTCGATACAAGGACAATCATGAGTCCAAGTTAAATTTAAGATAATTTCAGTCCATTTGATTTTTATTGTTTTAGTTAAATTTGAAATTCAGTGTTTAAAAATAGTTAAATTCGCACGAATAAATTTATCTCAGTGGCTAAAGGAATTGTTGTTATTCGTAGAGGTCATGAGTTCAGGCATCAACGACTACAGCAGGGTGATTGAGTATTTATTGACAAATGATTGAGAGTATTTATAACATATATTGTTTTATAATCACCTTGCTTAATAAAAAAATTAGTTAATTCTTTCTTCATATAAAATGTTAAATGAAATATTAAATTTGTAATGATTTTTACATAATGATTTATATCTTAATTTACGTGTAATTTATGCTGATATGAGTTATCTCCTTGAGTTGAATATTTTTAATTGGCTTAATACCAAAATAAGTGCCTAAACTATACTCTAAAACCCAAATAGGTGCCTAAACTAATTTTATCTCATCCAGTGCTTAATGTAACAAACGTACCATTTAGGTGCGTTGGCCGGTAACAAATGTTAAGCGACATGTTTCATAACTGGTAATTTTGAAAATTTTATTTAAAATTAACAATTAAAATTATATATTTTTTAAAAAAACAAAAAACCCAAAATTTGAAATAAGCCCAAAACTTTGAAAACCTTCATTTCAACCCCTAAACCCATGTCGACCGCCACCTTTTTCCATCGACGAGCCTCCACTCGACCTCCCTCCCCTGGCGACCAAAACCCCCATGAAATTATGACCTATCGATGGTCGATCGACGACGAATCAACGTTTTAAACCGTTCGAACCCTAGGATTAAAATCATGATTTCACGCGATTCCAATGGCCAATTGAGGTGGTAGCGACGGATTAAGGTTTGGATTTTGGATTTTGGGGCTATTTTATAATATAGGAAAGTTGTGTTTTTTATAAATATCATAATTTTTAATATTTTGTTTTTAAAAATACATTTAAATCATCATATTGTGACGTGTCACTTAAAGGCAGAAATTAACGCCGTTGAAGACTCAGACACCTAAACGGGTAACAATTATAATGTTAGACACCTGGATGAGACGAAAATTAGTTTAGACACCCATTTGAGTTTTAGGGTATATTTTGGGCACTTATTCTGATATTAATCCTTGTTCATTCTGCATGCAAGATTTCCTTCACAAAAATGGAATCCAACGGCCAACCACATTCTCCCATCGTACTTGCCTTCCTCCAAACAGATTTTTAATTACCTCATGCATTTCAAGATTCCTTTTCATGTTTGACTGACGCTTGTTTGTGAGGATATTATATAATTTGTCACTTACGTTTACATATATTCATTATTTTTTCCCCTCTAATATTTGGAAACTTACAATAAGATCACTATGTATCGGTGAATTCCTTGCTTTTGTTTGAACAAAGAAGAAAGAATCTCGGCATTAAAATTAGATCGATCATCCTTAAGAATTGGGTTTTACTATAATAAAAAGCATTTTAATATCATGTTTCATCGAACTCCAGTATTATTACTTATCGAATGTTGGGAAGCTTAGATTCTTCATCGTGAATTATAACATCCATGTTCATGTCAACTTCAATGGAATAAAGAGGGGGGATGAGAATCCAATTAAAGTGTTAAATCTCTGCCAGTACTATATTTATAAAACCCAACTGTACTTGAATACAACTAAAGGTTTGCTCTCTTTATTTCGTGCATATGTCCTATTTATCACACCATATGAAAATCTAAATAGCTGAATAAAATAAATTTAGGCCTCACCGGATTGATTCTCGATAACTAACTCGTGTCCTTCAAACTTGAACCTCACCAATCGGTAATGGCAATGGCAATGGATAGTAGGTAGAAGCCAATGCCATCACCAGCTCTCTACTCTGCCCAAATTGCCAATTTCAGCTTCCTGAAGAAAACAAGTATGTGACCATGTATCCAGGTTCACAAGTTGTGACAATCTAAAGTCTTGATCATCCTTCTTTTCCAGATTGCGGTTTCAGGATCGAATCTCAACTCCCATGTAGGCCAGTAGTGCAAATCCTGCTTCAACGTTAAAACTCGAGGCTTCCCATTCAGATGGACCGTCCTTACACGAACAAACTCCCCATGTTCTAATTCCTGTTCACATAGTTAGAGCATTTATTTATCATTCAACTAACGATGCTAGACGGCTTGGGAATAAATATTAAAAAAAGAGAAAAAAGTCTACTAATTGAATCGTGTCTGGCAAAGGAAATGAGAACTAGCGTTACCTTTGTTACATTAACAAAAGCATCTAAATCAGGAGTTGGTTTTCCGTTACTTCAACAATCCATTGTAGGCATATAACCCATACCGATGAACAGGACTACCGTGACACCACCTGAGAAAAGAACAGATTGTTACAAGAAATACACAAGAACTTTTAAACAATGTAACTTCAGCTAAAAAAGGTATGGTCATCCTTAAAAAAAAACTAAAAGATATACTTACAGTAAAAGGTCATTTATTAACAATAGAAATGTGTTTTCATGAGTGGGTTTTAAACTGCCTATGCGGTAAAGAAATATTTATATAAAACAACAGAATTTACTGGATTTGTGATGTAATACTCAACAGATTAGCTGAAATAACCTGAACTAGAGTATCATAAAATCCCCTTACTAGAATATAGGTCCCTAATTCAAAAGAGAAACATGTGAAAACAGGCTCAGCTTAATTGAAATTATAATTTGAAATATTATAGAATGACCTTTAAGATTGGTTCATGCTGGTGCCTATGGTTCTCTTACAGAAGGAGACCATTAACGAAGTAAAATTTTACCTATTAACTCGTTATCTTAGAACTTTAGAAAGTGAGATAAATATGTACTAATTATTTGTCAAATGCCAGCTACAATCAGCAAAAGGCTCCTGAGAACCAGACTGCCGTGTTGCAGTTGGTGATATCCCCCTGGAGCCTGCCAAGGAATTAGAAGCGAAAGTGAAGGCTCTTAAGCATTAGTGGCAGAGTTGAATAAGCGGGTTAACGATTTAAAAATGAGGAAATGCAGTTCCACGAGGCAGTCTTCTCAAGAAATCTGGATCCGCTGGTGCAGCCTCTTCATCTTACTCCGGTAAGGGACAATCGTAAATTGAGAATGAAAGGAGAGGACAAGGTTACGGAAACCGCAAAGAGAGTTTTTACCAGACGCTTGTTGGCGGATTGAGACAGTTGGTAACTTCTCTATTCCACCGAATGCTGCTAAGAACGATGTTTTGGCAGCCTTGGCACGTGAGGCGGGTTGGATAGTTGAGTCGACGGCACCACTTACAGACACTCTCCTTCAACCCAAATCAACAAAATTCGGGATCATTTTCGGCGAGGTCGGTGAAAATCCACTATCATCCAGTCCTTTGAAGAAATGCTCACAAGAAGGGAAACATAGGACGGAAAGCTGTCTTTTGTTCATGCAACACCACGCTTCCAGTCGCTAATGTTGATCATGGTGGAGCCAAGGGATCTATTCGAAAGGGTATTCCGATGCAAAATTTTCCGAAGTGGTGGGAAGAGAAGAAATGGGTTTTATAATCGGTCGAAAGAAGGCCAACCAGATTTTCGCAATGGGTCCATAAAGGATTGTTACACGATTTTTATCGAAAAACCTTCCAGAGAAGATCCATTGGAAGAAACTTGGATCCATATTTGGCTCACATGGTCAAGTTATTGATGCCTTCATTCCCAAAAAAAGAAACTCGAATGGGGTTCGTTTTGGGTTATTCGCTTTGCTACAATTGAAGAAGCAAGGACATCGATTTCTAAGATGAATGGTTATCATATTTACGGCAACAAAATTAGAGTCTCTTTGGCTAAACATAAACCCCGACAGTCTTATGGCGAAAGTCCTCGAAAGTTGTTCATAGTAAGTCGGGGCTGGAAGTTTTTCCGACAATTAAACACTGTGAAGTTGAGGGTGTGGACGCAGATAAACTTCATGTGTTGTCTAACTGTCTTGTGGGGTGGTGCAAGAACTTTATCAAGATTGGTAATCTTGCTAACCAAATACAAGCCAAAGGACTAGCGGGTTTCACGCTTATGAGAGCTGCTGGAAATGTAGTTCTAATGGTTTTTGAAGATTCTAATTCGTTGAGATGCGTGAAGGATGAAAGTTAGAAACTCTTGCAGAATGGTTTTCCAGAGTGAAACTTGGTCTGAGAGCCTTGTGGTGGAGAGCCGGCGCGTTTGGCTAGTTTGCGAAGGTATTCCTTTTCACGCTTGGAATTGGGTACTTTCAAAAACATAGCTACTAAGTGGGGCAAGTTAATAGCATCGATAACAGTTGTGAGTTCCCTTCGTCTTTTGATCGGGCTAAAATCCAATACTCACAAACGCTCAAGTGAGAATTAATGAGTTGTTGGAGTTGAAGGTCGGGGATCATTATTCAAAATCTTGGTGCATGAAGTGATCCTTCCTTCAAACCTAATTCTTGGGTTCCTGAAGATTGCGATATTTCTTTAGATCTTGATCCTCCAATTGGGTTGTGATTGTTCGGTGCTGTATTCAGAGGCGTTTTAAGTTTGGTTGTAATTTTTTTGTTGTTGTTATGTTATTACATCTTGAGGTGATTTAGGGGCTTTTGGTTGACGATGTAAGATTTCTAGGTGATATGGGTTGTATTGGTGTTATTCCCGTATGGGTTTGGTGTTACCTCATGTACTTAGTATTATATTTAATAAAATGAGGCACTCTTTTCTCCCTTCCTTGTTCTTCAACATACTTCTAAGTATGTGGAAGATGTGGAAGAATACGAAGGGAGTTTTTAATGAGACCTCCAACTTCTATCAAAAAAAAAAAGGCTCCTGAGAATAATCAAAAAGAGATCAGCAAAAGGCTCCTGAGAATAATCAAAAAGAGATCCAACAAATTCCAAAAGGTATTTGGTTGTCGCTCCCTCGAAATTAGCAATTAAAGATGGCAATTATTAATACACGCCAGATTTTAAAGCCACGAATCCATGAAAACAAGGGTTTATAAAAAGCTTCAAATCATACAAGTTCGATAATTAGGTTTAAATTCAGATGCTAATCACAGCCTTGAGCAAAAAACTAGCAAGCATTTTCTACCTTCAGGTATGTTCATAAATTGGTTAAGGAATTCAATTATGTTATGATTGGTAGGAATGCTATTTTTTTCCTTGTTTTTTGTGTACACGGGTTAGCCATAAACTAACAACAATTAGGGATGGTGAAAAAGCCCGAACCCGACGGGTCCCGACCCTACATGGGCTTTTTTTTAAGAGAAAAAGCGTCAGTGACCGAAAATGTCTTATAATATACGATTTTAATCAACTTTTTTTGATTTGCCAAAATGACCAACAAAATCGCAACGCGATATCAAACCGCAACGCGATTTAGAAAAAGCGCAACGTTGAAAAGAAGATCGCAACGCGATCTTCCAAGAATCGCAACGCGATTAAAATCGCAACGATTCCAAGAATCGCAACGCGATTAAGAAAATCGCAACGCGATTCCAAGAATCGCAACGCGATTCCAAGAATCGCAACGCGATTCAGAAAATGAGTAAATTCTTTCAAAAGCTGTTGCATTTGTTTCTTTCTTAAGAATTTTCTCTAAAAAGATAGTATCCGCGCGGACGTGTCGAAACACGTATTACCACGACCACGACCACGACCACGACCCGACCCGACCCGACCCGAGACGAGACGGCGGCGCGCGAGAGTCCCCCTTGTTCTCTTTCACTCAACAAGGAAATGGGAAATCCAAGCCTTAAATACACTTCCCAATAGTGTTTCCAATACTATGTGGGATTGAGCATTACTCAACACTTCAAAGAAATATAGCAATTTTTGTAGCATGTTTCCCGCTTAATCCATATTTAAAAATATTAAAACATTTTATCATATTAAAACTATATGTATAAGTTTGAATTGAAATGTAGATATCTACAACTCTTTTAATTCTCTTGATAAAATGTTTTAATATATGGATTAAGTGGGAAAATACTACAAAAATTGCTATATTTTCTTTGAAGTGTTGAGTAATGCTCAATCCCACATAGTATTGGAAACTATTGGAAGTGTATTTAAGGCTTGGATTTCCATTTCCTTGTTGAGTGAAAGAGAACAAGGGGACTCTCGCGCGCCGCCGCGCCGTCTCGTCTCGGTTCGGGTCGTGGTCGTGGTCGTGGTCGTGGTCGTGGTCGTGGTCGTAATACGTGTCTTCGACACGTCCGCGCGGATACTATCTTTTTAGAGAAAATTCTTAAGAAAGAAACAAATGCAACGCTTTTGAAAGAATTTACTCATTTTCTTAATCGCATTGCGATTTTTCTTAATCGCGTTGCGATTCTTGGAATCGCGTTGCGATTTTCTGAATCGCGTTGCGATTCTTGGAATATCGCGTTGCGATTTTCTTTTGATCGTTGCGATTTCTTTTCAACGTTGCGATTTCTAATCGCGTTGCGATTTGTTGGTCATTTCGCAAATCACAAAAAGTTGATTAAAATCGTATATTATAAGTCATTTTCGGTCACTGACGCTTTTCTCTTTTTTTAAATTTTGGGGTTCGAGGCAGGGCCGGGTTTAAGGGAAAAAACCGACCCGACCCGGTTAAATTATTAATTTCTTTTATATTTATATAATATATTTAAGATTTTAAGGATTTTTACTTTAGGTTAAAATATATTCTTTAATTATTAAAAATATAAAAAGTATTATAATATATTATTTTAATAATTTAAAATAATAAATAATTATAAATATTATTATAAAATAAATTTTTAAAAAATTAATATATTCGGGTGGGGTCGGGGTCTGTTTTTTAATCTAAAAATCGGGGCGGGTTTGAATAATACAATTTTGGGTCAGGGTCAGGGCGGCCAAAAACCCGCCCCGCCCCCATCCCTAACAATAATTTGTAATTTTAACCACTCACATGACTAAGTTTGAACAAAAAGAAAGAATATACATTGCTTATTTTGAATAGGTATTACTTTTTAGTTGAGTTTTTACATCTTTTCAATCTCAAGTTTATTTGTATTAATTCTTCTTTATGTTATGATAAACTATTTAAAACTCATGTACTAATTAAAATTTTCCTTGTATCAATATTTATGTAACCAAACGTAGCATTAGTTCAGTAGCAGGTTATAATGTATTATCAAGGCTAGAAAGGTTTCAAGGCTTTGCTACCACCTGTTAAGTTCTCATCATTACTTCCAACTAAAAGAATATGAAAACTTTTCTACTACGAGGAAAGAGACCCTTACCGTGCCACATAAACACCATGCCCTTCGTCAGGAAGATATCCAAGAGCACGCACAGCTGGATGAGGATCCTGAACAATACAACCACACCAATTAATAACTCGTGTTGTTCCATTCCCATCCCTAACATCTGTACCCACAAGAAGATCAATTTCGCGTCCCTGGAAAACAAGACAATTAGAAAGGAAATCAGGCAAATATTTCTACATTTACATATTGTATTAATATAACTTTTAAGTACAAAATACAATACATTACATAGTACTGGAGTTTATGAAAATTCTTTTACTCAAACTAATAATGTAATAATTACAATGAGGAATCGATAACCTTTCTGCCATTATCTATTGCTTACCTGCCGAAAAATGGTCATGTTAAGGTTTCCATCATTGTCCCCATCGTCCAATGCTTGACAAGCATCTTCTATGTCACGAAAGCAAGTAACAGGCTCTTTATTTACTGCTAAAACCATATCACCTTGTTCTATTAAATTTTCAGCTTTCGATCCCGCCGAACAACCTTTAACACGTAAAACTTGGCGTCGAACTGGATCTTTCTTAGCAAGAGCCTAAGAAGCATACGGAACTGAAACAAGTACACAAAGAAAACTGCAAAGAGGTTATTCTCCCTAGCATGTCCTAAGTAATGGCAAAATCTTGTTTTGAAAACAAAATTTGCTATAAAAATTTGATAGAAAAAAGAAATAAAAAGAATACTTGTATCCATTCATCGCTCAATCCAAAGCTTCTGGCCTTCGAAAGCAGAGTAGGATAAAATTCAACCTCTAGAATCCTCACAAGTGGCATCGGCCTTTTGACACCATTTATGAGAAGAGGTGGTCCATTTGTACCAGCTATGATCTTGTCAAGAACTTGACTTACTGCAAAAACTGGGATGCCCCTCACAAATTGATGATCTTCTGATGTATTACATCCAAATTTCAGCTGAAATCATTGATAGCAAGCATCAGAATACTTGGGCATGATACAGATGATTCAAAATATAGGAAAAGTTCACTTTTTATATTTTTCGGTCAGAGTTGAAACCTGCGTTGAAAAAGCTTCCCCAGATTGCTTTAACTCTTCCATGCTCATCTGTTAGCACACCTGAAAATGAACTGCCAAAATCTGCGCGAGACAGATGAATATGTATATTGAAACCTAGCAAGTGGTTAAATTAGAATACTCCGCAAGTAATGACAAGCAAACATACCAGTATCAAGCTCATTACTTCCATATTGTTGCTCTGTACCGTGGACAGTCAGCAGAGCCAATGTTTAGAGCAGCACATGGATTGGTCACAACTGATTTCCTAGATGTCGCTTGTAAGCTTCTACTTAAACCCACAAGATAGACGGAATCACCTCGACATAATGCAGGCTCTGTCTCAAATAGAACACAATGTTTGTTTCACCAACAAAATTAAAAGAAAACACAAAAAAGGAAAACAATATCAACTGTCCACCCCCAGCTCCTTTTCCATGGCAGAAATAAGGAAAAAAACTTGCTTTTTATGTATTACCACAATCTGTTTCCAACAATGTAAAAAAACGGATTGGTGATTGAACCGGTCTAACATCCGGTTCCTGGTTCAACCAGTTAAACAGACAGTTCAATTAAAATGTATCTTTAGTCATATATACTTTGGGCCTTTACTTTAATTTTAAACACTATATTAGCCGTTCAGACCCACAATAAAATCCAACAATGAAATAAACCCACCTTAAGGGCATTTTTTTTCTTTGTAACTTGCCTATCCAATCTTCATCCTTTCCGCTTTCACATAATCACAGTTTCACTCTTTCACTATCTCACTCTTCACGAACAAAAAATGTCTCACTTATCTTCTCTTCAGACTTCACTTTCACTTGTAAAAGCCCAAAGGATGAGGATTTAGATTTATAACTCACACACATCCCATCCATCATTGTGCCACAGCCACAGCCACCATCCAAAGGGTCTTTTTTAATGAGATGTTTTAGCTGGATTTCTAGGATTTTTTATGATTTCTTAGAATTTACAGTTTAACTGGTTTTTTCACAGGTTTTCTAGTTCTGGTTTCTTTACTGGTTTGAAATGATTCCATCTAATTCTAGTTGGATGAACAGCTGCTAAATACTCATTAAACTGGCCAGTCTGGTCTGTTTAACCATTGGTTTCTAAGAACATAAAACTATGATCTTTTTATCCTTTTCTCATCAATTGCCAAACCAATTTTTTAAGGACAAAATGAAGCATACAGTATATTCACACAAAAAAAAGGGAAACCTAGAAGCATAGGACAAATATATAGAATAATTGCAAATGTCGAACCTACCAGGAAGCAGTTCTGCTGCACGGACAACAGAAGCACCAGCCAGCCCTAGAGCCGAGGGATCATATGCAACTAGAGCATAGTTGTGAACAGGGTGAAGAAATACAACCTACAGTAAAAAAATTAACTCAATAGAATATGCTAGTTTTCTAATATGTTTAATTTAAATAGCACACCTCTCCAGGAATTTCAATTGGATAAGCAGCAAATGACAGCATCACATCTGACGAAGAAATTGCAACTGTATTCTTGTCAACAGCAACCAAGCCCATACTTCGAGAATGATGTATAATGACACCAGTCCCAAAAAAATGCTGTGAATGGACACCATCAAGCATGCATGATGGTGGCACGTGAACCTGAAACCAATAAGTCAACTTAGGTAGTTCTAATAAAAAAGGGAAGGAGCAACAATTAACATCATATCAATCTCAACAACAATCATAAAAGCAGCAAGAATTCATACAATATAATGATCAAAGAAGAATGATTAATGACTTAAAAGACAATGCCAACATTGTCATTTACCATGATAATTATGTTGTGACCAAAAAAATCATTAACAAAAGGAGAAGGTCAAACTGTGTAGTTCACAAAAAACGAACTATGTCAATCGACAGATATGTACCTCAAACATTACAAGAGTAGGCTCTATTACTCGTTCAGCAATTGAAGCATTAGCTGCTGCAGCAGTTGGACATGTATAATCACTTAACACAGGATTTTCCATGGCAATATTGTTCGCCAACTTAACTTCACCAGTTTCACTTAACAAACCATCAGCTACAACTCCATCAGAAGGCATACCTCTTACTCGTCTTTTCTTTGAACAAATACCCGCTTCATTCTCAGAATGCAATTCTGCAGAAGCATGCTCATAACAGGTTTCCATACTAGAAACACCATCAGTCAACTCTTGGTTAATTTGAAGTATGTGTTCCATATGAGTAGCCTCGCCATTAACACTAGATGATGGCATCATGGACTCTGGTTGAAAGGCGGGCTTTGCAGTCCATAGTCCAGAGCTGTCATCACGAGTGTATATCTGTGGAGGTGCATACCATTCATGGCGATCAACCGTGACCAAGACAGACTGTATCCATCAACAAAATAACAAAGTTCAACAAATAACACAGATATTCTTGATAATGATAAATCAAAAAAGTTAAACAAATAAGAGAGACTGCATATTTGGTTCAATTTACCTAAAATATAACCATTCAAACCAACCAGCAACACTTGTAAAATGTCACATTATTCGAATCAGAAAAATTAAAACTGAATTGAGGTTTGACCAGATCCCATGACCCTGATCAAGACACTACCATGATCCATCTACAATTCTAGACAGAATTTGGATGTTCACATTGGGTTTCTTTTAATGCCTTACTCTTTTATCTTATGCATAATATTTACAATTGACAGAGATGGTTATGTGCTATCAAGAATAGAAAAAAGGGACGTTGCACATTTATAACTACTTTCAGATTAAGAATGAATACAGCTAGAATTTGGTGATGGCTTTTAGTAAATCTATAGAACATTAAGACAAGGAATGGAGACCAGTTAAGAATATATAAATTATTTTATCAAAATATATATATATATATATATAATTAAGTTTACTGGTTAAAAGATAGACAATTCTTTTTTCACAAACCATTTATGAATCTGTTTATAGTTAGCCCCCTGCATCGCCAGAGAGGATATAAGATCACTCAAGATCCTAAAGTCATGCTTCAAACCAGTAGTTATGTTGTGCGGCAGAGAAACTTAAGGCTAGTTTGCGGCGGTTTTAACCTAAAATGTTACCATGTCTAACTCTAAAATGTTGCACAATTTGTAATAATTTGGTTACAACTTACAACCAATAATGTTACATTGCAGCGAGTTTTAACCTAAAATGTTACCTTGTCTACTCTTATTTATGCTGACGTGCGGGCCTGATCAAACTCTTTGTAAACATGATTGATAGAAGGCAACTTTTTAGGTTGCAACTTGAAAAGTTATACAATTTAAATGATTTATTAGGGAGAACGTAATATTTTCGGTTTCAACCTAAAATGTTACCCACTTTACTCTAAAGAGTTGCGCACTTGGTAAGTTTTTCAATTACAACCGGTTGCAGCCTTTTTTTAGCCTTATATTAGCCATTTGTATTTTAGACTCTCACTGCTTCTAACATTTTAAGCACTAGTCTAATCTTTTCTCCAAGCTCCTTCAAAAGGATGTCTACTATTTTAAAATCCTCAAGCAAATTACTGAAACAGTCATGTGATGGTTTCATTTTCTTTTGTAAATCAGATTTGATCTAAATTCACCACCATCCAACCACTACCTTAATACTCAAGTCAATGCCTATGAAGTCAAATTTATGTAGACTTGTTGCCTTCTATCAATCATGTTTACAAAGTGTTTGATCAGGCCTGCACGTCAGCATAAATAAGCCAAACTCACCTCTGTTAAGATTTGTTTCGTTTATTTATAAGCTTTAAATTTTCATTCAAATTTATTTGACACAAAATGAGTTTACTTACTCTGATTCATTTTTTACCCCTAATCTCTCTCAACAATTGCAGTAAAATGAACATTGGTTTTGTTGATAATAGCAAGCGAAAAGTCAGTTCAAGGTTCTCTCCCCACTGGGCCCCTTGGTCTGCTTTTGTTGATAATCTGAGTAAAAGAGTCTCTAGGAGAGCTTTGTGGGATCGTTTCAAGCTCCATGGCAAGGTTGTTAAGGTGTTTATTCACATTGTTAACAAGAGACCGAAGTATAGAGATTCTACTTTTGCCTTTGTTCACTTTGAGAGTCATGAGGATCTTTTGCAAGCAGTAGCAAAGGTTGACAATGCGATGATTGATGGGAAGAGAGTTTCAGTCAGGGAGGCGAAGTATCAGAAGTCGGCAAGAGGGAAGTCGGCAAGAGGGAAGAATTTGATTGGTTCAGATGTTGAAGGGGTTAAGAAGAGGGTTGAGACTCAAACAAAGAGCCTTGAAGGTAAAGGTATGGTGTTTAATAAGTTTCATGATGGGAGCTCTTATCGTGATAAGCTGGTGGGAAATACGAGGTTGCCAGTAGGGGCATGTAATAGGTTGACAAGTGGCGGAGTTGTTTTGAAGAATCCCTACTATGTCTTCATCCCTGTGGAGGAGCGATGTTGATTAAAGAGGTCGCTGACTGACATTCATAAACAATCATATGATGTGGAACCAATCCAGAAAGCTCTACAGTGATGGAATAAATGCAAAAGTGGCGTGTTGGGGGTATGCCAGGAACTCATGTTTAGTCACTTTTCTGTCTGAAGAAGAGAAAATGAAAGCTGGAGTTAAATTCTGGTTCGATTGGTTAAGGCCAGGTTCCTCGGATGGGCGTGTTCCTTTAGCGTTTTGCGAAGTGTCGTTTGGTGTGCCCCTGAATTGTTGGAATGAAGTCTTTTTTCTCAGGTCTGGCTTCAAGGTTGGGGGAGTTAGTGGAGATCAAGAAGGAAACACTGCTGAAGTTGGATTGCTGAGTAGCTCAGATGGTTGTTAGGGCGGATAGTCCTTTTGATTTCCCGGAATCGATCTCCATCAACACTAACAGTAGGTTGTATGTGATAAAGATTAAAGTAGAGATATCGAATGATGGTTCTCCTGAGATATTGAATGGAAAGAGTGATGGAGAGTCTTCTGATGATTGGGAGGAAGGATCATCGGAGACCAGTACGATGATGGAGGGGTCTTGAGGGATCGGGAAGTCCAAGAGGCAGGAGTGTTGTCCAGAGAGAATGGAGACTTGGGCTCAAGAGATTTCGACAGGTGGCATGGAGGTTTTCGTTCTTGGAGTTAATGATGCAACTGATACAAGGCAAACTAATTCGTTGGGGTTGATAAAGGGAGGCAGGATGATAGTTTAGTTCCTATGCAACAGATTTTGTCAAGGGTAAATGACGTGAGTTATGGGTTGGCTAGGGGAATTAATAGCGGGTCAGATAGGCCCAATTTTGTTAGGGAGAATGTGGAGATTATTGGGGCTAATCCAGGAACCAGTAAAGGTGGACCTTTTCAACTAGGGTCTCATAGGAGATCCAATTCTTTGGACTCTCTAAGTAGTAACGGAAATCATATAAGGGGTTCAGGTGGTTCTCGAAACAATAATATTAGATTGGGCGAAGATTCAATTTCTCCTTCAAGGTCCTCTTCTCAGATAATGGGTCCTTCTCCAAATCGTGGTCGCACTTTAAAAAGAAGTGTTTCAATGGGTAGAACTGGGTGCAAATTCATTTTTTACGCCTAATCTCTCTCAACAATTGTAGTAAAATACTAATATAAGAGGCTTTTGGGAACCAATCCAAAAGAAGGCTCCACCAAAGGTTACCTGCATGTTCACACCATAAATTTGAACAAAAACATCCTATGCCTCATAAAAAGCCTAGTAATAGTTGGATAAATACCATGCAAAAATTATATCCTAATGAAAGGTAAGAACTCTTTACTACACTGCTTGTTACTCACACGACCTCAATTCATTATGTATTCCATTTGTTGTTAGAAATAATGATCGGATCAAAGTAAACCTTAACCATTCGGTTTTCCAAAAGAATCCAAAATTCATCAATGGCTTATATGCACAATTTTCAACCACCACAGTTTTTACATATATCAACATTAGGTGAAACCGCCTAATCAACAATAAAATACCTTTTTTCGATGACGATCCTGGTAGCTTATATTCAATGGCTTATATGCACAATTTTCAACCACCACAGTTTTTACATACATCAACATTAGGTGAAACCGCCTAATCAACAATAAAATACCTTTTTTCGATGACGATCCTGGTAGCTTATATATTCTAAAGGAACCCGAGCACCCCGAGAAAGCTTAGATAAAACAGAGATTAGATCCTCAAGTTTTGATATCTCCTCACCAGCAAATTCTTGATGATAGCATGTCGAGGAACAGAAGCTCTAAATAGCATACCTACACCATACAGAAATCTAGCTATCAAACAACCAATGAAAGCCCACAACAATACGGAAGCAACCTCATGATGGAAACAGATTGAAGTACATCTAACTGTCATACATGACTTCAATATTCTCACTTCGGCCAAAAAAGATAGCAATCAATGATTTTAGTAGATAAATGTGATGACTTGTTGAAAGTAACATTATGTATATATCATCTTTCAACCTCCAAAATCGATGATGCAATCCCAGTATGCCAGGCATAGGGAAGGAAAAAATAATTTCTTAAATGATATTATGATATAGGTAGAGTTCAAATCCTATATCATGGATTATGGCCAAAAATCAAGTTCTACTTATTTGATAAATTAGTAATGAAAAGAGTTATAAAGATAATGATTGCAATGAAATGCATCTTACGCAAGCTAGTGCATTCAACAAAAAAGTGATTTTCATTACCAAATGGTAGCCCATGAAAGTAGGCACCGAAACATATGCATGCACCAAGTATTTTTCCCCTTTCAAGATGCATTTTGAGTACTTAGGTATGACAATATCCGTAAATATAATCAAGTAGACTAACCCAGGTTCTGAGACATATACAAGACCGCATTGGAAACGGAAGTTTCTTGCCTGTTCAAAGAAACAGAAAAATAAGCCAAATTATCAGCCAACAACAGCAGTACTATCCTCAAACAGCATAAGATAAAAGCAACTAAATAATCATATTCATGGAACAACGTACGGAAAATCAGAGCAAAAAAGAGGCAAGAAATTCCAACTTCCAAGTGCTAAGCAAATTTTGCAACCTACCTGCTGGTAAGACAGAGGATGTATCACTGCACCACTTACTTCTAAGAAGTGAGCAGGAGTTATCGAGTGTAAATCCTGAACCTGAAAGGGGAGAAAAACAAAGGAGGTCATCATTAGCTTCTGCAATCATAGTCGACATAAAGCAAGTTGAAAAACTAGAAAAAGCCTCTTGCAATTTAGTCAATAGCTACCGCCAAAATGTTCTACATCACATTCAAACAAACTTATTCAAAACATAATTGGCATTAGTATCGCACAAAACAACTGAGACTGAATACCACAAACAACCATTATCGGAGATAACACTCATTTAGAGCTGTTTGTCCCTGAAATAATGTTCTTTTACTGTGGGATGTGGATGGAAATTTAGGGTTCATAATTCAAAGCACGAAAATGGAATAGCAAACAGTCTTTTACCAGCCAATGATATACTCTTAATCTTCTCCAGAAATTGGGAACAAAAACAGAAACACATTAATTTCCTCCCAAAAATATAATACAAGGACGTAGAGTTTATGGAAAGCACTGCAATCTGAGTTCAAATCCCTTTCCTAAAGAAGTAAAGACCATGTGAGAGTTATACTTTAAAGCGAATGAGAACAATGCAGAACAGAGCTGATCTTCTCTAATACCCATTCTTTTAGAGTTAGAAAATAGCAGACTGCCTCATTTGAAAAAATGTGAATCAAAAAACAAAAATAATGAACATTCAGATTCTGTAAATGATATTAAGTTCATCATTTTCTAAATATTTAATAGTGAGTCAGAAACATACACATACACTTTCTAAATTTATGAGCATTAATTTGGAAAAAAATTTGTTTTAATTGGTGATCCTAATTTTTATCATTTACCAGGACTACTTCAGGCAGAATATTTTTACAACTAAATTAGCCAATCACAAAGATAAAAGTAACTTGACTATCAAAATTTATATGCACATGCAGACTACTCCTAAAACTATTCCCAAGATTAGGCTAATTAGAAATGGTACATGGGTCACACTGCCACAATCAAAATCACAATTAACCCAAACTAAATAACATGCAATCTAATTTAAACCTCAAGGCCTCAAATAATGGTGAGCTAAATAGACATAAATGAGAGAGAGAAGTTTTACCGTTAACTGCACACTCATTGGTGTGCCACCTCTTTCCATCTGTAACTCTATCTTCTGCTCAACACTGTCATCAACTAAAGTTTCCAACTTCAAAAATTGAGTAATTACCTGCAATACATTTTCAATAACATATTAAAGCCTATAACATGTTAAGAAAATTCTATAAAAATTAAAGTTGCTACAGTAAGTTTATTTTTAAAAAATGAAAAAGTGATGTATCAAAAATCCTAATTGAACAAGTACTAGAAAAGGGTTCTGTTAGCACCCAGAAATCAAGTATCCACCTTAAAATCATTGAAAGCACCAAATCACAATACGTCACCTATTAAAACTAGGTAGGAAGTCCTCCAGAGTTCCATATAAATCATACACATAAAGACTAGGTTCTCATCTGAGAGAGGGAGGGGGCAAATCAATTATTAACATAGTTCATCACAAAGAATTAAGTATATGATCTAAAATCCATTTCATGACTATTCTTGAAGAAGTTCATACATAAATTGATGCATAATATTTATATTCCATATAGAAATTTAGCAAAGCCAGAGACAGAGCTGGTCTTCCTCTAAATGCTTAATCATATAGGGTCATGGATAAAAAGAGAGGATCCAAACCAAAATAAGAAATAGAACATCTTCTTCAATGAATGAGTGCACAACTAACCTCCCCATTCACCCGAATAAGCACATCACCTGGCTCCAAGTGATTATGAGCGGGACCACCCGGCACCTACAGGTATGTTTGGATTTAGAAGACGGTAGAACTAAAAGTAAACAGAGAAAATTTAAAGAAGATTTTGAAAAATGAAAACTGAAGTTTGCTCACCACAGAGTCAACAACAAGCATTCCTGTTTCACCTTGTGCAGAAGCAAGACGTACCATCTAAATTAAGAAACGGAAATTAAATGAGGTTACACTTTTTTCTAATATAAGCCATGGGAAAGCTAGCAGAAAGTTGACAACAAAGGACTAGCACCTGCTCTGTTTCACTTTGGAGACCAAGCCGGCGAATTTCGTCAAACCCCTTATGGACAAATGTAGTCTATGAAAAAGAAATCTTACATTAAATTTGTATTAAAGCATGTTCCCAAATATTGACAGAAATGTCAAAAGGCAAAAACACAAACAAAACTATCTAAAACTGTGGTTGTTGATCAACTATGCTGTGTGTTGCGGTGATGACTGGAATTAGCAGTGTTTTCTAGAGCTTGAATGATCACGGCTCCAAAAAGGATTTTTGCTGAGCCTCAGTTAAAGGAAGATCAGAAGCTGAGATTAGGATCTATGAACAGTTAAGCTATATATAGTTGGCTTCAGGAATTTATGGGGAACTTAGGCATCATAGAATTTGTCGATATCTTGAATCATTGCAATTGAATATTCAATCCACTTCTTTCTCACTTTTTTCTCATATCCTTTTATCCCATCTAATCTCCAGCTCTCTGTTTTCTCCATGTTTCTCTGTCTCTCCTCCATATTGTCTCTTTCACTCCAGGACCACAGAGCATTTACTGTTCCATCTATAAGTTGATATTCATGGCATTTCATGTTTGTTAATGGAAGGTAGGTGCAAGCATACCAAGTCCATTTTTAAAAAAAATGCAAAACACCAAGATCTAGAGGGCCATCATAGCATATCCACTCTAAAAGAAATAAACTAATCAACAGATGCTCTAGTTTTCATTTTCATATGACCACTTGTGAACACAGAAAAGTGAAAGCAAATTTTCAAACCGTTAAACGCAACAATGAACCTTTTTTTTTTATAAGAAGTTAGGCCTCGTTAAAAACCTCCTTCATGATTAATGGAACAGAAAATGTTCCTTAGTCAGCAGAAGGAGGAAAAGAGTGCCTTAATAACCATAAATAATCAAAAGTTACATAATGTTTAACAACAAAACTCTCCCTTACAATAATAAACCCAAAGGCTAATAGAATCTTACATTATTGAGTAAGAAAGAGGATGAAAAACAGAAGTGAAGCTCTGCAAGGATGAAATCAACAACAAACCTGAAGCGTACCACGAGGAATAGAAATTGCTTCCCACTTACTCTTATATGAATCTCCTCCTTTCTGGAGAAACTTTAACGCCCTTACTACCTGAAAAGCAAATAATTTTTCAATATCTGATTTTTCATTGAAAGTAGAGACTAAGAATAAAGGTTCTGCCTGTTCAGAGATTGATTGAAAGGGCTATTCGTGCAAATAAAACTCTAGTAGTATGAGTTGCACATAGCAATTTTCAGAAGCATGTATAATTTATCTTAAGTACATTGAAATACATCAGAAAAAGGAAAATGAGCTAGTTCTGACCCAATATTACAAGCGGAGAAACATGGCATGAACAAAGAACCTACAAAAAAAATCTTGAGCAGGTCAATATGGTTTATAAGGCTCCCCGGATACTGATCTAGTTAACAATTAACTTGCTGGAGTAACATCAAGATTGCTATTCCAGCAATCAAGAAATCTTCTTTATTTTTAAATGATTATTTTCAGAAAAAAAGGAAAGAAAACAGTCTACCTTATGCAGAGAATAAATACATATCTCTTAAGTTATAAATTTTGAATTTCAACCCACAGTGCATAACCAGACAAGGACCAACTTTTATGAGTTCCACAATTGCTGATGCAAATCTCACTATATGCAACTCAAGAATACTTGGATAGAAGGCATGCAACCAAAATTTATTAATACATAAATAATACAATTTTTATTAATGATTAGAAGGCTTTTCCAGCCGTAACAACATAAATGGTTTCAAATGTATAGATCCAGGGCTTTAGTCATTTCCTAAGGTTGCCAAGCCAAGTCTAAGAAATCATAGAAAGTATTGAGTTACTTTTTTTTTTGATAGAAAGAAAGTATTGAGTTACATGAGCCATAATGTTTAAATCTATCAATTAAGTTAAAGGAAAAAAAACTTGGATAATATAAGAAGCATGGCATAGAAGGCCAAGCAAGTAAAATACAACTCACTCGTTCTAGAGGAAGGAAAAAGGCAGATGCACTAGATGACTTGCTACCAGCATTCAAGGCCACTGCCCTCCCTTGCCAATCAATCACTGGGGATCCACTTGAACCACCTTTAGTCCCTGATGCTGCCTGAAGTTATGCAAAAGTGTAAAATGATACAATCAGCCTAGACAAGCATGAATGTTAAAAGCAAACGATCGGAGGTGCTCCAAAAATAATACAACAGCCAACAGAATTATCAAAAACAATACAATAATTAGACATCTTAACATGTCACGTTGTTTGAAAAATTGAAGAAATACTTTTCAGAATGATGCAGATCAAGCTAATTGCTGTTCATGTTAAAAGCATTTAATACCGCCTACAGTTGTTTTCTTATTCTGAGTCTCTTAGACATCATGTCCACTAGATTGCATTATATAAATTCATTTGTGGAGAGAAAAAATGTTAAATAACTTTCCAATGACTTATCACAGACTTCTAACTGAGACCTACACAATTAGATGATTCCTCGTTTCCAGCATTAATGTTTATCTTTTTCATTTGGGCCATTTGTATATTGCCTTTTCATTTTTTTTGGTACACCTTGCCCTTTTTCCTTCTTGATTCTTTATATTACACATTTTGGGCTTTTGGCATTAAAACCATTATATATCAAATATCTAAAAAATTGAAATTTTAATATAAGAAATCTTAAAATCAAATTTGCATGTCAAACATGGGTGTTAAAATATGGAAACTAGCGAGTACATAGTTTTCAAAATACATGTTACTTGAGATATGTTTTAATACATTCCAATATAAAACCATGTTTTTGCTCATATTCAAAGAACAATAGAGGAAAAAGTTAATAATTTAAACCAATGGATCCACGAAGAATATAATACATACTTGCATGTAGAAAGTGTTGAAGTCATTATAGCCATCCCTGTAACAAATAAGCATGTCAACAACCATGTCACAAATTACAACTTTAAAAGAATCAATAAAAATTCAAAAGGTTATAGAAATCTTAAGCTAGACAGAATGGGTCAAATTACTGACCAGAAGTCATGACTATAATGTAAAATACAGTGTACGTCATCAAACATTGCTTACAATATAATATTGTCAAAGAAAAATGTTATTTAAGATTATTTTAAAACCAACTAGAAAAATGTGCGGCACAAAATGACCACCTAAAATGAAAAGCATTACATGCAGTGCGCATGTAAAACCTATATGGCATGCACCACCAGGTATAAAGCATTAAAATGATGATTGCCAAAGTCAAGATAGAGGGGGTTACTATGTCTTCTACTGGTAGAAAAGCTAAAAATCATCTAAGTATGGTTCAGTACAAACTGTATTTGAGAAGTTACATAATGGATGATAAAACAAACAGCACCCGAAAGCAATATCCAATAAAGGTCGTGTTGCCACGATAAATTTTGGAACAACAGGTCTCTGAAATGCTGATGAAAATATGTATAAACATTCATCATGATTGCATGGCATAAGAAGAAAAATAACAACTGTACAAACCAGTTTAATAGGACAAAAGCATGTGGTTATCTAAGAGTTTTGATAGAGATGATAATTTGTCAAAAGAACAATGCTAGTAAATCAATTGCAAAAGTAGATGATTCACAAGAAAACCATTAATGAAGTACTACATACTTTTTATAATGAGGGGCATCTCTATCCAAACGAGCAAGAGTTCCAGCCAATATGGAAACCTACAAATTTCGATTCAAACCAGAACAATATCAGTTAGGTATGTTTTTATGTTCACAGCCATGTTTTTTTCTCAAAAGCCAACTTAAAGGACTCCTTTCACTCAAAAGCCAACATAAAAATAAACATCAGTGCACAATGTTAACAAACTAAAAGTGTGAAATTAACAAAAGTATAGCAAAGACGACCAATATGATTAAACTACCTTCTCTCCACTATCATTACCAACAACCCTGATTTCTAAGCCAACACAAGCTGCTTCTGGGGCAAGCGGAATCTCCTCATAGTCTAAAAATTGAATGGCATCGGGATCGTAACGAAAGAAGCCAAAATCATGAACCTAAAACATAAAGTTTTTCAGTTAGCAGGATGCACAAATAACAGGTGACGTTCAAAGAACATAGAAGAAAAATTGACTTCAACGCAAGGCATGTGAAGCAACAGACGATCTAAATACAACCACATCAAGTAATTCCAATCAATATAGGCTCACAAATCAAGCCTTCCATGGAAAACAACCATATTATACAGATAGGCAATACCATTACATTTCAGAAGTCACGTCAAGAAATCCTAGTGCATAAAAATGAACTGAATAATACCAACAAAATATAAATGTTATGAAGCAGAGTTCACTCACCGGATCTCTATATATTGGATGCACAGTTATTTCTTCTCGATTTACAAACATTGCTTCGGCAACAACAGGTCCTAAAAACAGACAAAACAGTCATTTTCTCAATTTACAAACATTGTTTCCAACATTATAAAGACACAGAAAACACCATTCAGTTATTGCCTTTTTTTCTATTATTTGCTTCCTTCTTCAAAAAGAAGCTCAAAAGTAAAAACTACAGTAGTAAAAATAAAATCATAATCAAGAATAAAAATGAGCATATAGCTAAAAAATGAAAGGGACTATAAACGAAGTGATCCATTGATTCGTGCAACAACAAAATCATTCATTTAATTACTTAAAAGTCAAAACAATTAAATTTTACAATATTGTTTACAATTACCAATAAGTAACGAACAAGCAAAAGAGGAAATAGCAAAATCATCCAGCCAAGCCAACAAAAGAACAATTAAATAAATAAATTAAGTGCTGACGGAAGTCGACCTGGTTTGACCACATGGCGATTAGTGAGAATGATGCCCCTTCGCTTATCAACGACAAAACCAGTAGCATAACTAGTACCGGCAGGCTCGGTATCAAAAGCACGGCAAGCAGTAGTACGGAGGACGAGGACAGCTGGAACAACTTTATTGAGAGCATTCCGCCAATCATCGGCAGTAGCGAGGTTCTCTCTGAGCGGAGGATCGATGTCCATGGAAAGCTTTTCCTTGATCGTTGATTCTAATCCCATGGCTGTCTCCGACCCTAACCTCTCCAATGGATCTCCCATCTAATGTTAGGGCTCCGAATTCAGAGAATTATTGAAAGCTAATTTTTGTTATGCCATTGTTTTTGAGGGGTTTAAATCAGAAATATTATTTTGATAAATTATAGGGTTAAGTACACAAATGGTCTCCCAACTATAGGTATTGTTTTATTAAGTCCCTAAACTACTAAAGGTTAGAAAATGGTCCTTTAACTATAGAGTGTTATTTTGTTGAGTCCCTCAACTATTAAAAGTTACAAAATTATCATCCGCCTATTCATTATGTTCCAAAATCGTCTTGTTCTATTAAAAAAAGTGGTGATATTCTCAGTTGAATGTTAACCTACTGACTGTGATATGATAAAATATGATCTCAAAATCTCAAACAACTATCATATATTAGTCATCATGTTAACGTCTAACTTAGACAAGTTTGAAATATATGAATAGTCGAATGACGATATTGTAACTTTTAATAGTTTAAGGACTTAATAAAGTATTATTCTATAGTTGGAGGATTATTTTGTAGTTTTTAAAAGTCGATGGACTTAATAAAGCAGTACCATATAGTCGATAGACCATTCGTGTTCGTTACCTAAATTTTAATATGTTTTAAATTTTTATTAAAATAATAATTTGTTTCCACATCTAATTTCATTTAAATAAAAATTTGTTTTTATTTATTAAGGTATCGACTTCGAACACTAAAAATGCATCAATAATAAATAATTGAGAGCTATTTTTAAATATATATTACCATGTACGTAATCAAAATTAACCAATAAAATATAAAAAAATGAATATCGTCAAGAAATATACATTCGACAATTTATTCATAAAGAGAAAATGCTTAACTGAAAAAAAAAGTATGGTACTTTTAGATGGATTGCAATAATTGAATCCTAAATCTTAAACTTTAAACGATTATTTTTTAATATTTTTTTAATAATGGTAACTGAATTTTATTAATAATAGAATGAATAAATTACAATTTATCAAAATATAAAGAGAAAATTAGAGATAATAATCACTAAAAATACTCGTATAAAAGAAACAATTAAAACTAAAGTTACGAAATCAAAACTCAATAATCTTCGTAAAAACTCTTTTTCTCTATCAAACGAGACACTTGACGAAGTAATAAAGGAATGGAGAACGAATTAAATAATTTGACGGATTATTTTGCTACACAATCTTATTACAACGACAAACAATATTTTACAAAAGAGTAGATCTTACTATATTTGACCATCTTTTACTTTAAATTCTTAGTATTTATGTATATCTATAATTATTTGATTATAAAAAAAATACTTACACAATGAAAATTTTACTTAAACTATTTTTTATTCCTAGTCGACGTACAGTGATAGAAATGAAGTCATGTAACTAATTAAAGATGTCGACAAACTCCGTACGTATAAATTACTTTCTTAGGGATTGTTTGTTTGGCTCTGAATAGAATTATTCAGCAACGCGTTTGTTTCGCAACTCTGAATGATTCAGTGCTGACTGATTCAGCACAGAAGTACATTCTGAATTATTCATAGCCATTATCAAACTGCATGTCACATTCGAAGCTAATTCATTCAGAATCTCTAAATTATTCAATATTTGAATCATTCCGTGCTTAATCATTATGAAGTAAACAAACGCCCCTTAAATAATAGTATAGCATGAATGGCTTCTCTTGCTTGAGAAATATTAAGCGCTTTCCCACCTTGAACGGGCCAAAACTCATTTGTTGCCAATACCTTGACTTGCAATTGAAGAATCCTACAAACACGGATGAATCGAGGGTAGGCTTAATTAAAATTTTTAAATTCATATATTTTAGATATTTTTATTTTTATTAAAAATATTTTTATACTCTAGAATTTTATAAATACATCATCTTTTAAAATTTTATAAATTTTACCCTAACATAAAATTTTAGGTAATCGCTAAATGAAAACCACGTAACTGAACACTGAGAGCAATTTTCAATCACTGATAAATCCCAGCAATGGTAAGAAAGTAATACCTAACAAAAACTAACCGTGACGACTTGAGAGATCAACAGAGTTGGCCAACTACTAAAAACAAAGAACCGGAGACCCTGATTCGCCACGGCCTTTACTTATTGTTTAGAGGTTTTGAAATTAATCACCTAATTTGTTCGAACTTGGAGAAATGGGCATGACCAACAAGTAACTAAATTGCCTGCAGACTTGCTATAAATCCAAGCCAACCACCAACGAATTCCGAAGCATTCGAAAAACGATCAGTTTCAGTAAGATGGCAAAGCGGTGTCCGGTTTTCGTAGCAGTAGTCGTAATCGTTTCAGTATTAGGAGCTTTAGTCTCAGCTGGAACTGCTGCATCAACGGTCATATTTGTCTTTGGTGATTCGTTAGCAGAAGTTGGAAACAACAATCATCTGCAGTATTCGTTAGTGAGGTCTGATTATCCATGGTACGGCATCGATTTTACCGGCAGGAAAGCTACGGACTGTTCACCAACGGAAGAACCATAGGTGATATCCTATGTACTTGTCGATTTAATCTTTGATTTTTGGAAATTATTGAGTCTTCTGTTACATGACATTATTTTGTTGTGCTTTGTAGCTGAAAAGCTTGGGGTTTCATCACCACCACCTTACCTTTCCCTGTCACAAAATGATGATGCAATCCTCCAAGGGTTAATTATGCTTCCGGTGGAGCTGGAATGAAACCGGCCAATATTTCGTAATTTCTCTCTGGTTTTTGTTCGATATCGTCTCGTTTAAATCGATCTAGAATTGATTCTATTCTCTTTGTGTTTGCAGATACAGAGATTGACATTTGACGATCAGATAAATTACTTTAAAAAGGCCAAAGAAAGAATCCGGGCTAAAATTGGTGAAGCTGTAGCAAACAAGCTTTGCAATGAGGCCACCTACTTCGTCGGAATAGGTAAAGCTCTGCCCTTTGTCGGATATTTCGAGCCGAATAGGATGCCTTTGACACACTTGATTTTGTTTTTGATGTTATGCAGGAAGTAATGACTATGTGAACAACTTCTTGCAGCCCTTTCTAGAAGATGGACAACAGTATACACACGATGAATTCGTAGAACTCTTGACGTCGAAGTTGGAGCAACAGTTTTCGGTATGAATAGTCTTTTGTCATGATCCATGACTTCTGTTTTTGAGATAAAGCTTAAACCAACAATGGGGCTGAATAACAGAGGCTTTACTGGCTCGGTGCACGGAGGATATTGTACCACGGGATAGGGCCATTAGGCTGCATTCCGTCTCAGAGAGTAAAATCGAAAACGGGGCAATGCTTGAAGAGAGTGAATGAATGGGTGATGGAGTTTAATTCCAAGGTGCAAAAGCTGATACATACACTAAATAAACGCCTCCTGAGTGCCCAGATGATGTTTGCCGATAATTATTTCTGCCGTTTTCGATTTGATCGACAACCCCAAGGCCTATGGTACAACACATAATCTTCTCTCCGTTATCATTTCCGATACGTTAAAACGAACACGTCGTGTTGCAATGTCGATATGAGCATCGGCGGCTTATGCTTGCCAAACTCCAAGTTGTGCAACAAACGCAAAGATTATGTGTTCTGAGATGCCTTCCAACCATCGGATGCAGCAAATGAAGTGCTGTCTCAGAAGCTTGTCGACTCATTACCGTCTTCGGCTTGTGCTCCTCCTTCGCTTCCACCGACGCCGCACTGATTCCTTTCTCGGTACAATGTTCAGAGGAGACTGCACCATTCCGGAACCAAAGCCAAGACATGTAGCACACATGATGTACTATTGTCTAAAGATTTTTTTTTTTATTAAGCTAAGGTGATTGCAAAATAATATATATATTCTAAATACTTTCAATCATTTGGCGACAATTAACGCTCAATCATCCTACTGCAACTGCTGGTGCTCGAACACGTAACCTCTAAAAATAACAATAATTCGTTTGACCACTGAAGTAAGTTGTTCCATACATCATTTTCTAAACCCACTTTATAAACATATAGGTGAGGATTTTCATAATTTATATATATAAACATAATGTTTAAAAGTAGTTCCTAATAGTATTAAAAAAAATGTAGTTCTTAACATTTAGTTAAATACTTATTTCATTTTTTATTTTTTTAATATTTTAATAGTCAAAAATTTAATTTTAAAATTCTAAATCATAAATCCTGATCTATAACATAGTATATCATTTTTCATATATCATCATTATGTCTAGAAACTTTAGCATTAATAGGTCCAGATTAGTGTGAGGGAGCAAAAGAAAAAGAAACTAAAAAGGAAATGTTTATTGATTACTTTGTGTGTGCGCGAGCATATATATATATATATATATCGAGCTTAAATAAATAAAGTTATATTTGTACTATAAATAAATTGAATACATATTTATTCATATTTATTCATTTGTTAAATAAACATAAAAAATTGTTTATATTCGTTTATTTAGTTTAATAAGTGAACGTTATGCAAACGATTCATAAATAATTCGTCAAAGGCTCTGATCACTTACACTCTTATTTATATAATCTTTTTAATATAGGATAAATTACAAAATTCCTCATTAAACTTTATTGTAACACTCTAATCCAATTCGACCAAAAAATTATTGAATTATGATGTCACACGGAATCATGTAATTGACTAACCATTTTCTTTTGAAAATGTTTCATGAAAGTACCATTCATAAAATTCCAATACTGACAAATACAAAATATAAATATTTAATACGGGATCTCCCAACATAAGTCTAAAAAATATATCAATAATTTAAAATACAAAGTTTACGACTCAAGATACAAATAAGGGTCTATGACAGTACATGCCCTTTAAAACTCTCGAAACGTACTCTGAAGAAGTCGAGTCTGGAATCCAAGTATGGCGAAGAGCTCCTAAGCTGGCACCTACTGACCTGCGCATGGAAACACATTCTATACGCTGAGCTCACAAGCTCAGTGCCACCAAAAATAACCAAGCTATACTACATGCATCAAATATATAAGCATGATACAATATAGTCATGACCAATGCAACACTCAAGGAAACAATAAGTATCAT